GAGTCGGCTTCCTCCCAGGATTGATACAGCCATTACAGGGTTGGCAGCTTGCGGGACTTGGCTTTTTTACAACCTCAGCTCCTGGAGCCATGTGATTGTGCAAGAATTACCTCTCGCTAAAAATAAGCCGAAGTACATGGTTGCAAAAACAGCCTGAACATACTCCCTCTCAAGCATCCAAACCCTGAAAGCAACTAAACCCCCTGGGTTTTTGTTCCAAGCCTCAGGATCTCTAGTGGGCCTGTGACCTGTACACATCATCTACCAATCACCATCGTTTTGGCTTGGTGGCGTGTCACACTCCCTTTGCCCTGGGATAAGTAGCTGTGCAAAGTTGGAGACAGTGGAAACCCTGTTCGGGAGTGTTTCCTGGACCTCACGCTCACGCGGCCCCGTGACTGCTGCACGTTCACCCCCGCCGACTGCCAAGTTCTGAGCCATCAGATTAACTTTAATAGAGCCCTCATTTCCTTAAAGATTTCGCCTTTTTTCTTTTCACCTGATTGGTGCCATTAAGTCAATTTAGCAAAACATTTTCCCTGGTAAATTAAAGCAGTTGAACTTACTGTGTGCGGGTCACAGTAAGGGGGGGGGGTGGTTTCTCTCCTGTGCTGACATCCCAGATGCCTCTGCTTTCTCCCTTGGCTGCAAGTTGACTCTCGCTCTGTATTGTTGGAACCAAAGGGGCTTGGGATTCATTTTGGTGTCTTTCTTAAGTCTTCTCCCCAGTTTCTAGCCTTGGTAAATGCTTCTGCTGCCTCTGCAGCATTATCTATAAATCCTTCTCGGACCTCTGCCTTTATCCCTGAGTCTAACAATACATGGTGTCCTCTCAAAGACCCAGCTCCTGGACTCAGGTGCTTCTGCAAGGATCTCAGCTCTCATCACTGGAAGAAGGTGAGCTTCTGTCCCTGGCTGCAGAGAAAAGTGTGCGACAGTTAACCTTCGAGGCTCCAAAACCAGAAGGCCAAAGAAAGCAACCTGCACTGATCTGGGGGAAAAGTTGCAATCTGGGGCTGCAGGTTAAATACCAGGTTCTAATTGTGCAGACACAGCTGTGCTGATGGGCACCCGCGGGTGTAAGGTATGGAGATGGGAGGACTTAATTAGAACCAAAGTGCTGCACAAATTGTGTTGGCCTCTGCTGGGCAGATCTCACCCTTGGGGAGGAAGCAATTCTCCTTAGGACTAGAAGAAGGTTGTGGGGAAGAAGGAGAAAATAAGAGCGTTTCTCTGCTAAGGGGTACAACATGCTTGGACCTGGCAGAACAATTTCCAATCAGAACAGGAATCAGCAATGCTGAGACTCAGTCATTTTCTCGACGTGCCTTGTCCTTCTCCTGATACCCACCAGCCCTGGGGCAAAGATGCTCGCTATGCAAGCAGCTCCCATTTCAGCAATCTCAATCCAGTGGCCAATGCCTAGATCCCAGAAGCAGCTCAACCCCTTTTTACTTCCGTTCAGGAGACTCCAGCTGCTTAAACCGCATCCCAGCAGACCGTATGTCACCAAACTAACAACCTGAGATGTGGGGTAGGATGCCCCAGTTAACTCAATTAGCCTTCATGGCAGCACCTAGAACAGCCAGAGGTGGGTCAGATGCATGAATGATCGGCCTAAATGCAAAGGCATCATACGTTTCCTTGTTGAGCACACAGCTGGGAGAGGGATCATTTAGAGAGCTCTTTGTCATGAGTCATGGCTATGCAAGAACCTGGAAGAAAGCCTGCAGACCTAGAAACTGAAGCTCTAGCGTGGAGGGAAGGCGTCCAAGCTGAGTTCTGCCTGCCTGCTGCGGTCTGGCTTCTGAGACTGGCTGCGGTCACTTCAGCAGGGGCTGGAGACCTGGAGTTCCCCCAGTAGGAATCATTATTCAGGGACCCCAGGAAGAAGCCCACAGTCTTGGCTTTGTAAAAGTAGCATTGAAGTGGAGCCTGAATGTGCATTGAAAAACAGCACCGGGCAGGAGAGGACTCCCCCGGGGATGTTCTGGGAGCAGTCGGTTGCCTGGAATGGGTGGGACCGATGGTCCACGGCTGGAGGCCAGTGTCACAGAAGAGCGCAGATGCTGGGGGATCTGGAGGCTGGGAGGCTGATATCAAGCCAAGCCACAGGCTTTCGGTTTCCCTCTGGCGGAGAGGCTTGGGCGGTGAGTCAGGCTTCTGCAAAACAGTGCGGCATTTTGTCAGAGCCTCTGCCGCTTGCTCAAGAGGCCGAGTAAAACAGTCTGCAGAGCCGAAGGAAAGCAGATAGGCTTATCGCACACCCTGCGGTGGAGATGGGACCACGTGAGCAAGCAGCCAGGGTAGAAATCCTCCAGTCCCCAGCTCAGTTCTCTGGGTCTGGTGGATGTTAAAGCTCTGGTGCCATGTCTTTGCAGATTGCTAGGTCCATCTCGCTACCAGAGTTAGCCTGGGCTGCAATCGCCCTGCCTAGATTTGCCCGGGCAGATCTGTTGTGACTTCCACCCACCAATACAAAACAGGAAGAAACTGGGAGAGGTGATCCGGAGCCTGGAGGAGGAATACATGAAACAGGGCTGCGCTGCCCCAGTTCAGTTTGTACTTAAAGCTGGTTATGAGCAGGGAGATGGGTAGTTAGCTGTTCCCTGACCCCTTTTTAAGTCAGGATCACAGGAAATCCTCTGATCCTAGCCAACTTCCTGCCCCTGGGGTAGGGGGCTGGATGATCTTCCAAGGTCCCCTTCCAGTCCTAATGTCTATGAAAGTGGAGCTCAGGAGGTCACTGCTAGTCCAGCCTCCTGCTCAAGGCAAGATCAACCCTAATTGACCCATGCCCACCAGGTGCCAGTCTGACCTGCTCTTGAAAATGTCCAGGGATGGAGATTCCCCCACCTCCGTGGGCAGCCTGTCCCAATGCTCTTCATCCCCAACCGAAGTCTTTTCTGCTGCAGCTTGAGGCCGTCGTTCCTAGTCCTGCCCCAAAGAGCCACAGAGAAAAGCCCATCACCATCCTCTCTGTATTCACCCTTCAGGGATTTGAAGACTGTTATCAAATCCCCTCTCACTCAATCATCTCTTCTCTTCTCCAGACTAAATACCCCTCATTCTTTCACCCTTTCCTCATCAGTCCTGCTTCTTCTAATCACTTTTGCAGCGCTCTACTGGACTCTCTCCAATCTGTCCACATCCTTTTGGAAGCGCAAGGCCCATAACTGGCCGCAGCGCTCCGGGGAGGCCTCATTGCTTCACTTCCCCATAGTATTGCTCCTACCAGCTGTGCTAAGTGAATACCAGCCAAGTTTACACCTCTGGAGTCAAACTGATGCAACACACTTGAGTTAAAACCAGTGCAAATTTGGTGCACCAGCTCTTGACAGCCTCCTGTGTGAACAACTCTAAAATCCAGCTGTTGGTTAAAACGGAACAGGCAAGGCCTGAAGTATGTGCTCTTCGACCCGCCACCCCCATGGGTCCGAGGGGCTGATGCACCAGATAAACCCGCTCACCTGAAATCCGGATGTTTCAGGTTTGCAACAGCATTTTGGCATTGGCCGACTGGTCATTCAGGCTTTAAAAAAATGGAGGTCATGCTAATAAATCCTCGGGGGGGTTCTGCCCGTACTTTAAGATCCACGGGGCTGTGGGAATCCAGCTGCTCTACCCAACTGTCTAGAGAAAGTACCCTTCTCCCATTAGAGAGGCTGTGTGGGGACTGTCAGTAAAGGAAGCTGTACAGAAAATTCACAAACTGGTGAGAGCGATGGAGGGAGTGAAAGGGGATCAATGCATGGGATTAGGTCCCTGGCCCCCATCCCCCGCCTGCCCCTTATGCCAGGAGAGAGTTCCCTGCGTGGCTGCCCCTGCATTGGCAAAGCCACGCAGGTACAAGCCCGGGTTTGCGAGCGCCTCTGTGCTAGGGGCTCCTGGCAGCACGTCTGCACTGTGGCTGCAGCCTCAGCTTCCCCTTCCAGCTATTTGTGTCAGGCCCCTCCAAATTCTGGGTAAAAACCACCTGCTGTCACAAGCAAAGGGCTCCGTGGGAGGCTTTCGCTTGCCCCTTGGCTCCATTTTCCAGGCACTGAGGGCCGCTGCGACCTTTCGATCTGAGCCATGGGTTTCACATCAAGGGAAACATCAAAGCAAAAGGTTGGGCCCGTCACTCTCGTCTGCACGGGGAATTTCTGCCCAGGGCGAGCTCCATCCGTTAAGCCGCCAGCCATGAACCGTGGGTGCTCCTTATCGGGTACGAGACTCGCTGCCTGGTCTTCCTTCCTCCCACCACCGCGTCCCCCGGGGGAGCGGGATGCCAGTGCTCTGGCCTGGATGTTGCTTGCCCCCCAGGTGCCAGGTGCTGTAGGTATCAGGTGGGTGCTGGCAGCCCAGGCAGGGGGTGCAGGGGGAGCCCCCCAGGTGCCTAGGGGGTGCAGGGGGAACCCCCCAGGGTCGCATTGGAAACCCTGGGGGGGCGAGGGGAACCCCCAGGGTTGCTGTGGTAGCCTGGGGGGGGTGCAGGGGGAGCCCCCCAGGTGCAGTAGGGATGGGGTGGGTGCAGGGGGAGCCCCCCAGAGTCGCATTGGAAGCCCTAGGGGGTGCAGGGGGAGCCCCCAGGGTCGCGGGGGGGTGCAGGGGGAGCCCCCCAGGTGCTGTAGGGATGGGGTGGGCGCAGGGGGACCCCCC